ATGTCCCGTGTGCACAGGTGACTGATGATGATTGTGGTTACATGTGTGGGGGGGGGATTCTAGGCTAGACGATCTCTTGTGGTTGGGTATTACTCATTTTGAGTTATGGAGGATGACCCTTGGAAGTTGTTTCAGGATTGAAGTAAGGCACAAGAGATATGTTTCTCGATTGTATATTAAAAGGAGATGTCAGAACCATCGGTTTTGGTTGCGGCTTGATGAAGGGAGTAAGACAAAAGGGATGATGGCAAACATTCATATAATGTGGTTTGGTGGTGATATTTATTATCGGTTGTTGCCTATTAGAAATGAGAATAGGAGAAAGAGATTGATTAACTTTATGTTATTTGTGATTTCAGTTTGGGGTATATTAAAATATTCAGATCTTGCGGATATAAATAATTTGATACTGTTTCGGTTGGTATGCATTATTATACGGAGTATGGTTCGTATGATAATAATTAATTTGGTCTTTATAATAAGTATGGTAAATTTTGTTCCCATGGTGTCTAAGTATATTAAAAATAAAATGTTTCTCAAGGCAAATGTCCAGGATTTGGCTAGCACAAAGACACGGCATACAACAAACTTTATTTAATCATTTATATCATGAGTATATTAAGTTGGAACTGTCGGGGTGCGCGAGGTTCAGATACTGTTCAACGGATCCGGGATTTTCGCCGCCAATACTTCCCAGATTTTTTATTTCTTATGGAAACCAAACAAAAAGTGGCGTATATGGAATCTCTAAAATCTAGTTTGGGTTATGATCATTTACATACGGTCGAACCTCTTGGGCGTAGTGGTGGTCTAGCTTTAATGTGGAAAGGATGTTACAAAGTGGACATTATTTACAGTGACAATAGAATTATTGATTTGAAGGTAAAGATGGGATCTATTGAATTCTTCCTTTCTTGCATATATGGCGATCCAGTAAGAGGAAGACGAAGATTCGTCTGGGATAAGTTAACAGATATAGGGATGCTCAGGGATGAAGCATGGGTATTGGTTGGGGATTTTAATGAATTAATGCATAATGGAGAAAAATTGGGAGGTCCTACTAGAGAGGAATCAACTTTTTTCGATTTTAGAAACATGGCGGAAGCATGTAAAATTAGAGAGATGAGAACGACGGGTAACACCTTTCATGGGCGGGGATACGGGACCATCACTGGGTACAATGCCAATTGGATAGGAGTTTTGGGAATGAGGAATGGTTTCGTCTTTTCCCCCAATCCTCCACAGACTATATGACTATGTGGCCTTCAGATCATAGGCCACTTCGTATAGTATTCGCCTTTGAACCTGAAAGCTTACAAAGGGGAAGGTTCTATTTTGATAAACGTATGTGGGGGAAAAGAGGAGTAGAGGAAGCCATTGTTCGGGGATGGGACAAGGAGAATGTTAATTCGAACCTAAGTGTCCTTGAGCGTATTGCTCGATGCCGATCGGAACTATCCAAACTTAAAAAATCTAATGACTGGAATTCTAAAGCGAGAATAGACCGATTACAAATGGAGTTGGACAAAGAAAGTTCAAAGCAATTTCCCATCTTGGGTTTGATTAGAAGATTAAGGCAAGATCTGGCTTCAGCTTATAGAGAAGAGGAAATTTTTTGGCGACAAAGAAGTAGAGAAGAATGGTTATGGGAAGGTGACAGAAATACAACTTATTTCCATAATGTGGTCAGAGGAAAACGAATAAGAAACAAAATCCTTATGCTTCGCGATATCTTTGGTAGTGAACATTATTCAGAGGGGTCTAAAGGACATATTGCTACTGAATATTTTAAAGAACTGTTTACAAGTTCAAATCCTACAGACTTAGAATCTTTGTTTGAGGGTTTTGATAGTAGAGTAATGGCGGGCATGAACACGATGTTAACCAGAGAGGTTTCTCAGGACGAAATTAAAAAAACAGCCTTTGGGATTAAAGGCAGTAGTGCCCCGGGTGAAGATGGTCTCACATGTTTTTTCTATCAAAAATACTGGCATATTGTGGGACAGACAGTTACTGAAAATATTCAAAGTTTCTTTAAAACGGCCATTATCCCTGCTGGATGGAATCATACACAATTATGTTTGTTACCAAAAATCTCACATCCCACGGAAATGAAGGATATGAGACCTATTAGTCTGTGCAGTGTTCAATACAAGATTATCTCTCGGATCCTCTGCGATCGCCTGAAGGTTGTTCTGCCACATATAATTTCAGAGACGCAAGGTGCATTTGTTGGTGGACGGTTAATTACTGATAATATTATTATTGCTCACGAATTGATACATGGGTTAAGAACAAATGATAAACTCGGTAAAGAAGGTATGGCTATCAAGACTGATATGTCAAAAGCTTATGATCGGGTAGAATGGAATTTCTTAGAGGTTCTCCTTGAAAAATTGGGATTTGAACGTAAATGGGTAGCATGGTTAATGTCATGCATCACTACTGTCACTTTCTCGGTTTTACTTAATGGACGCTCCCATGGTTTCATCAAACCAGAAAGAGGAATACGTCAGGGTGACCCGTTATCCCCTTTTCTTTTTATCCTTTGTGCCGAAGCCCTGGTCCATATCCTAAACAGGGCGGGATCAGAAGGGAAATTGCATGCTCTCAAGTTGGCTAAAAATATCCCGGCAATTCATCACCTACTTTTCGCGGATGATAGTTTGTTACTATGTGAAGCCTCAATCCAGGACAGTGAGGAAATTTTGAAAGGATTGCAACTTTATGGGGATGCTTCTGGTCAAATGATAAATTATTCCAAATCATCTATTATTTTTGGGAAACACGTCAATGATGAGACCAAGCAGGCAATAAAGGAATTTTTGGGCATCGTGAAAGAAGGTGGAGAAGGTACGTACCTGGGTCTCCCTGAATGTTTTCAGGGTTCAAAAAAAGACCTTTTAAACTTTATTAAAGAAAAGCTAGAAGGAAGATTACAGGGTTGGTATTCTAAAACTTTATCGATGGGGGCCAAAGAAGTTTTAATAAAATCAGTCGCTTTAGCACTTCCTGTTTATGCAATGTCAGTTTTCCAATTACCAAAAGGTCTTTGCGAAAGAATAACGAGTGCTATAATTGAATTTTGGTGGAGTAGTGGAGATAAAAAAAGGAAGATTCCATGGGTATCATGGGAAAAATTATGTAAACCAAAGGAACAAGGAGGTCTTGGGTTTCATGACATCGGTCGTTTCAATCAAGCTTTGTTGGGGAAACAAGCTTGGAGAATTTGGAACAACCCAGAACCTTTGGTTTCAAAAATTTTGAAAGGCAAATATTTTTAAAATAGTGATTTTCTAGACTGTGGTATGGGAACCCGTCCTTCGTATGCCTGGAGGAGTATCATGCATGGTCGAGAATTGCTAAAAAAGGGTTTATATCGGCATATTGGTAATGGAGAGATATCCAATGTGTGGGCGGAAAATTGGATTATCGACAATATTCCTCGTCCACCAATGTATCAAGAGAATAGTCCCATCAATTTAGCATTAAAGGTCTCAGATTTATTGGTTCCGGGATCGAATCAATGGGATGAAAATCTACTCCACCAAACATTCACGACGCAGGATGTTCAGAGAATATTAAAATTGAAACCAGCTTTGTTGCAAGAAGATTCTATTAGATGGGGATTTACATCAAATGGATCTTACTCAACCCGCAGTGGGTATAAACTTTCAGAGGCTTTGGTGGGTATTGAACATCCACACACCCACTCTCTCTCTCCTATTGAAAAACAATTGTGGAAAGATTTATGGAAGATAAAATCTCCACCAAAAATTAAGCATTTTATGTGGCGTGCTCTGTCAGGTGCTTTAGCGGTCAAACAAAGATTAAATACAAGGGGTATTACAATTGATCCGACTTGCAATATCTGTGGTAATGGGGCTGAAAGCATATGTCATGACCTATTCACATGTGATAAAGCAAAGGCGGTTTGGGAGCAAGCCCAAGTCCCAATACCATCAGGAGGGTTTTCATGGAATTCTACATTCTTAAATTTCCTGCATTTGATAAAAACTGCGAAAAATGCGACAACGGAGTTTCAGTTAGGAAAAGTCTTTCCTTGGTTGTTGTGGAAAATCTGGAAAGCTAGAAATGACTTCATTTTTAAATCAAAGGATAATGAGGCATCCTATATTGCTAAAAAAGCTTACGAAGAGGAATCCACTTGGTGTGACACGTTCACAAAAGATGCAAGCGATGAGACCAATGAAAATAAACTACTGTGGAAAAAACCCCCAAAAGGTTTCCTCAAATGTAACGTTGGTTCCTCCTGGGTAAGCGAGAATTGTAGTAGTGGTGCTTCGTGGATCCTGCGTGACGATAGAGGATGTACACTTATGCATAGTCGTCGAGCTTACTCATGTATGCGTTCAAAGGTCGAGGCTGACCTGTGGGCCCTTTTTGGGCAGTGGAGTGTGTACAGACTATGCATTTCTCAAACATTATTTTCGAGACGTCATCTGAATGCCTACACAATCTTCTATCCCAGCCTAGCGATGATCAAAGGTTCAGCCACACCCACCACAGCATATCACTACTTCTCGCTCGAATAGAAGACTGGAGCATTGACCATGCATTCTCTGAACGAAATGGTGCTGCTGATGCTATTGCTCTTAGTGTCACTCGTGATCTTCGACATCAATCGTACATTGCCCGTAACGCTCCAGCCTGGCTTCACAGACTTCTCGCATTGGAGGCGAAATAGGTTTGGTTTGGTATGAGTTTATCTAGGCCTTTATTGTATTCTGACATGTTTTTTGCCTTGTATCTCATGCGTGACATTTTCTCTTGTCCCATTGTTCAAACATCAGTGTTATAAAACAAAAAGAAGCACGTTTCCATTTGAACAAAAGCAGAGAAATCATTATTTCACATAACGAGAAATCAAATAACTAAAATGACAAAAAATAATCAGTAATCTCGAACATGCAAGGTTTACATTAAGACAGCATAAAAGTCTAATGAGTAGTGACGTTAAGACTGGAATATTTGTGAATTCAAGCCCTAAAGCTTCCTTTCCTAGCTCCATTAATGGGGAAACTCGATCTTCCATTGTCTTCCTCCTCAACCTTCTTCTTCTTCTCCTCCTCTGGTTTCTCACACAACATAAAGTTCCTCGCTCCTAACGACCCAATTGCTTCCCATGGACTGACCGCTACACACACAAAAAAAAGACATCAAAACTAAACTTTATCAAACAAACATTCAAACTTTCTCATACCTTCAGGTCCAACCATGGGGCAATAAAAAAGGAATTCATTAAAGTCGGATCCAAGAACCGGAAGCCGACCTTCACGAGCGTAACATTTAAGAGCAGTATCAATCACATTAGCAACTAGATCTCCTTCATTCACAACGAACCGAGAAACGTGACACTGATCAAGATCCGGTTTCCCTTAACCATCATCTCTCTTTTTCTTCTTCTGCTTGTTGTTGTTGTACATCTTTTTCACGGGTCGAGGCCGAGGCAACGGTAGTACCAGCCTTCCTTGCAAGATCCGAAACTGAAAACAGAGTCTGAAGATGAAGGGATTAGCATAAGGTTATTATCACCGATAAGATTAGGTTCCACCATTCACGAAAGGAAGCAGAAGAAGCGAAAGAGAGAGAGATTATTACGTGTTGAACAAGATCGAAAATGGAGAGAAGTTACGTGAAGAAGATGATCTCCATAATAGAAGAGAAATGTATATTGATCTGTTAAAAGATTCTGTTTACAATGCTTCTGTTATATACAGTTAACTATGAGCTAAACCGGAAACCAAACCAGCGAAAGGAAACTAATTTGGTAAACCAAAACCCGGTTATCTATNAACAAGATCGAAAATGGAGAGAAGTTACGTGAAGAAGATGATCTCCATAATAGAAGAGAAATGTATATTGATCTGTTAAAAGATTCTGTTTACAATGCTTCTGTTATATACAGTTAACTATGAGCTAAACCGGAAACCAAACCAGCGAAAGGAAACTAATTTGGTAAACCAAAACCCGGTTATCTATCTACTCCAATAGTCCCCCTCAAGATGTGCAATCTGCAAAGATATTCTGAAGACACATCTTGGATTTAAGATGATCAAACTGTGAGGGAAACAAAGGCTTAGTCAGTATGTCAGCAACCTGATCTTCACTCTTCACGTGAAGTGTCCGAAGCAACCCACGATCCAATTTCTCACGAACAATATGACAATCGAGCTCAATATGTTTTGTCCGCTCATGAAAAACAGGATTCATAGCAATGTAAATAGCCGCAGTGCTATCAGAATAGAGAACAGGGACTGACAACTGAACCACACGAAGATCCTTGAGTAAAGCAACTAACCACATCATCTCACAAGAGGCAAGAGCAAGAGCTCGATATTCAGCCTCAGCTGAAGAACGGGAGACAGTAGGTTGCTTTTTAGATCTCCAAGAAATCAATGAGTCGCCAAGAAACATTGTAAACCCTGTAGTAGAACGCCTACTATCTTGACAGGAGGCCCAGTCAGCATCAGCAAACCCTTTTAGATGAAGATCCGGAGTAGCTGAGTAAAAAATACCTTGACCAACTGTGCCTTTTATATATTGTAAAACTCTGTAAACAGCCGTAAGATGTGTTGATCGTGGAGCAGACGAGTACTGACATAACTTGTTCACAGCAAATGTTATGTCAGGTCTCGTTATAGTGAGATACATAAGCTTGCCCACAATCCGTCTGTACATCTCAGGATCAGTAAGAAGTACACCATCAGCGTTAGACATCTTCAAATTAGGAACCATAGGAACAGAGGACGGTTTACAACCCAACATTCCAGTAACAGAGAGAAGGTCCAAGGCATACTTCCGTTGACACAGAGTAATACCTTTCGATGATCGAGCCACTTCCAAGCCAAGAAAATACTTTAGAGGGCCAAGATCCCGGAGCTTAAAGTGTTGCTGCAGAGTTTGAGTAAAATGAGAAGCAGCAGTGGTACTAGTACTAGCTATGAGAATATCATCCACATAGACTAATACCACAAGGAAATCTGTATCCAATTGCTTGACAAACAAGGTATGATCCCCATGTCCACGAGTGAACCCCATATTGAGCAGAGCCTGAGACAATTTCTTAAACCATTGACGAGAGGCTTGTTTAAGGCCATAGATGGACTTTCTCAAACGAAGAACCGCTTTAGGTGGAAGAAGGTCCCCCTTACGTTTAGCATAGTAATCAGCATAACCATCTGGAGGCTTCATATAAATCTCCTCCTCAAGTTCCCCATTTAAGAAAGCATTGGAGATATCCAACTGAGTAAGAAACCAGTTTTTAGAAGCAGCCACTTTCAGCAAGAGCTTTATAGTAGCCATTTTTGCCACCGGAGAGAAAGTTTCATTGTAATCCAATCCCTCCTTCTGTGTATACCCTTTAGCTACTAACCTGGACTTCCGTCGCTCAAGTGTATTATCAGCATTAAACTTCAGAGAATGAATCCAACGACATCCAACAGTCTTCTTCCCTGGAGGCAATGTAGCAACTGTCCAAGTGTTAGTATCTTCCATTGCATCAAGTTCTTTATCTGAAGATTCACACCATTCTTTAGATTGTTTAACCTCTGCCCATGAAGTTGGAATAGGTATACTAGTAACATGATTGATGAAAGAGAGGTAGGATGGAGAAAGTCTAGAGTATGATAAAGAGGATGAAATGGGATATAAGGAAGAGGAATTAAGAGAATTACAAATGTAATCTTGGAGATAAGACGGTGGTTTCTTATTTCTGGTTTTAGAAATTTCTGAAGAAGGAGGAATGGTTTGTGTTTTAGAATTCTCAGGAACACCTGAGGGTTGAGGATTAGGTGTGGTAAAATTATGAATAGGAAAAGGAGAGGTAGGAGACTGCAGAGGAAATATTTCTTCATGAAACAAAACATTTCTGGAGATGAAGATCCGATTACTTTCCAAATCCATCAATTTATACCCTTTATATCCAAAAGGATATCCCAAGAATATGCAAGCCTTTGAGCGTGGAAGAAACTTATGTCTTTGCTTGAGAGAAGTAGAAGCATAACATAAGCATCCAAAAGACTTGAGTTGAGAGTAAGTCGGAGGAGTACCAGTCAGAAGCTCATAAGGAGTTTTGTTGGATAACAACTGAGAGGGAGTTCTGTTGATGAGAAACACTGCAGTCAAGATGCAATCTCCCCATAGAGTAAGAGGCACATTAGACTGAAAGGCTAATGCACGAGCAACATTCAATATGTGCTGGTGTTTACGCTCAACTACAGAGTTTTGCTCTGGAGTTTCAGGACATGAGTGATAAGGCAAGATACCTTTCTTCTGATACAACTCAGTAAACTGCAACTCTGGAGCATTATCTGACCTTACTGATTTAACCTTGACGTTATAGAGGTTTTCTGCTTGTTCAAGAAACGCAGGGAAAACTGTCAAGACTTCATTCTTTGTACGAAGAAGATAAACCCAAGTTGCTCTAGAATGATCATCAACTATTGTAAGGAAGTATCTGTATCCATCAATGGTTTCAACTGAGAACGGTCCCCATATATCAATATGTAACAACTCAAAGTTTGTGTTACAAATATTATTGAAAGATGGATAAGAAAGCTTCTTTTGTTTAGCCAAATGACAAGTGTGACAAAAGGCAGATCCTTTATTCTTGTGCTTTGTAGTCCCTAAAGCATCAGAGATAACATCCAGTCTTGAGTAAGAGGGATGACCCAGACGCCTGTGCCAAACTCCAATATCAACAACTGAGTTCACTGAGACTTGAAGAGACTCCATATCAAGCACGTATAGATTACCAATTCTCCTACCCTGACCAATCGTCAATACCCTGGTAGGATCCTGAATCAGACAAGAGGAAGGATCAAATATCACACGAGAGTTTAAATCATTCATCAGAGAACTGATACTGAGAAGATTGAGCCTAAACTCTGGTATGTATAACACATTACTGAGACAAATGTGTGAGTTGAGTTGAACTTTCCCAACACCGCTGATCTTAATAGTAGATCCTGTTGGTAAGTTAACATGACTCTCAACAGATGTGTCAAGAGAAAGAAGTAAACTCTTCTCATGAGTCACATGATGCGTGGCACCAGAATCAATAACCCAAGTTTGAGAGGAGAGAGTATGTTGAGCAACCATCAATATACCAACAAAACTATATGTTGATGTTGAGAATGATATACCAGAGTTTGATGAACTTGCTTCCATGGGTCCAGAGGTTGAAGAAGGATTGAGTTGAGAAGAAAACAGAGCAATGAATTGCTGAATCTGATCTTTAGAGAGACTGCCAAGCATATTGTCTACATTTGTGTTCTTTTGATCAGCCACAGAATGAGATTGTCCTGTAACTGGAGTAGCAGCTTTCTGATTAGAGGTGTTCTTCTCATTCTGTTTGAACTTAGAGACAAAACCCGGTGGGAACCCATGTTTCTTATAACAACGTTCTGCGATGTGACCAGGACGCTTACAGAAGTTACAAATAGGTCGTCCTTTGTTAGGTCCACTTTGCACATAGCAGACGGTTTGATCAGTGCCTGGAGAAGAAGCATCTGAGACCTGGAAAGTAGATGGAGCAGGAGCAATAGTAGAGAACCCTTTCTGACTGTCATCCTGATCCAAGATATTGTAGACTTCAACCAAAGAGGGTAAAACCTCCTTCATGATGATTTGTCTCCTAATGATCGCGTAAGATTCATTGAGACCTGCCAAAAACTTAACAATCTTGGAACGATCAGCTTTCAATTGTTGTTTAGCAGCATTACCACAAATACAAGGCTTATCTGGTTCTTCAGAGCTCTCAAGTGTATCCCAGAGTGTTTTCAACTTTGTATAGTATTCGGAGAGTGACATAGATCCTTGACGAAGATCTTGTATCTCCTGAGTCAGATTGAATGTCCTTGGAAGATTAGTCATATGAAAACGAGCATTAAGATCACGCCAAATATCGGAAGCATCATTCAAACGCAAGATACTGCGATAGATCGAGGTTGAAACTGAGTTGAGTAACCAGGATTTAACCATACTATTGCATCGTGACCATAGACGAAACGTAGGATCAGAATCAAGAGGTCTAACAAGAGATCCATCGATAAAACCTATTTTATTCTTGGCATCCAAGGCAATACTCATAGCAGCACTCCAATCATCATAGTTAGATCCATCAAGCTTAATCGAGATGAGAGATAGACCTGGATGATCCGCATTGTAGAGATACAACGGAGATTGAGTCGGATCATTCGGAGGAATGACGATCGGA